TTTCCTTCCAATCTCCAACTCTGCATATGGAATTGTCTCCAAGCCGTCCTCACCGACGAGTATGGAATGTAAGAATTCCTTATCAGGAATTGGTTTTTGTTCGTCGAAAACTACAAGTCGTGGTGTAGACGGTGCAGGTATTGGTTTCGTGTTTTGTTTCTAAGAAATAAATAGAACGTTAACCATTATACACAAGAGTAATAATGAGACGGTCGTGGATACTGTACCCAATTCAATAGTTGCTTGATAAGAGTTGATTTGTCTCCTTCTGTAGGTAGATCTTTTTTGATCGAGGGAGGGTTGCGAAAAAAGACAAAATTATTAGGAAACAAGTAAGAGTGCATTATTATGCGAATAGCAAAGCTTGATTACAAGTGGAACAATTTACATTGGGCTCGGATTGCTTACTTCTTTCCTGACATAAGGCCATAATGTCTGCTAATATTTTTCCATTTAAAGTAGTCTCATTTTCTTCTTCCAATACTTCGTCTATCATAAATGTGTCAGCCACCACGGGTTATTCGCTATCGATCATGACATTAATCTATATTTTATTAGCTCTTACCATAATGGCGATCGAGTGTTTGAAAGCGAGTCATTTTGTCATAACAGATTTGGGGATGGAACAAACAATAAGGTTTATTCTTGCATGTGCCTTGACGCTTTTATATACTAATTGCTCACGCCTAATTATAATACTAATTTTCCATGCCCAATCAAAACAAACAAGACCTTTTTTTAAATCCGTCGGTTTCCGGGTCACAAAGTTTTATACATCGTCAACATTACATCATATTCACACCTAGTGACGCCCATAGGTATTTTTATCGGGATAACAGTCTCGAAAAAGAAATTAAAAAAATGGGAGGAAAAAGACATTATTATCTACGGAGTATGTCGACGAAATCTTCTATTTGTTTGATTGTTTCTTGGGAATTGTATGTGATGAGAATGATCTGAGAAAAAAAAACCGGATTAAAACATTATTGATTGAGTGGCCAATCAAGGGGAGAGTTGAATCGGTATCCCTTAATGCATTGTTTTCGATTATACTTACCCCCAGGGGAAAACTAGCGAGTGTCAAATATTTCTTCTGGGGCGATATTGCATGGAGGCTGTAAATGAGAGAGATAATGGTTTGATTACACACTGATCGGAGAGGCTTCATTTACAATCGATTTTGTGGTTTTTACCTTGATAATGACTTGTAAAACACAACATAATTCCTCGCAATTTTCGGCAATTGTATTGTAGATTCTATAGATTACATACAAATCAGCATATGCAGTGCAACTTGACGATTGCCATTACATACTCGCCTGTAATCGTAGTTGTATCGAATATATTTGATAAATGGCGGAACTCGCTAGCGTCAATCTGTTGAGGGAAGAAATAGCAAAGACAATGGGATTAATAAGAAGCCATAAAGGAGGAAATTGCTGTTGCTTCAAGCGAAATAAGCATTAGTCCACAACTAGACGATGCAGACCTCAGAGAGTTGAGCGAGTTCTCCGTAACTGTAGATACACTTGGTATGGTATGCAGTCAGCACAGCCAACCCATTGATACATTCAGAATCCACTATCTTATCTGTTGAAGGACAAACATATAGCCATTAGTGTTGAAAAGACTGATAGGCAAAAATAAAAGGAATCCTACCTTGAATCACACTCTGCCATGAAGTCATTTGCGCTTGTACTGTGATCAAAAGATATTTTAGTTTCACAATTTAACAAGCCCATCCATGGAAATTTGTGAAACTGAAATGACGTGCATGTTTTGATTTAACCATTTACAGTCAACTACTTGTCTCTATAGTCACAGCCCAATTGTGGATTATGGATTATGGATTATAGACAATGGCACGTGGTTATTCATTTACCATTCTCCGTTTCACTTAATGGTCTTTTATTCTTCAGAAGATATGTATAATAATCAGAAGAATGTTATTTGAAAAAGTTATTTCTCGTTCTGAACCTTGACAATCCATCCGATGCTTTGAAATGACTTTCCGCAGGAAATTGCTGAGCAAACTCGAACGCTTTTGTTTGTAAATCTTGCCGTTGATAATATTGCTGGCAACAATTGCACCAGATATTCGATGACTCAAAGCATTATTAGTTTTGACAAATAATTCTTTCCTCTCCTTCATTAGCTGCCCAGCTTCGCTCGAAGTATCCTTTTTAATTATTGAACAGTCAACATCAAGGTTAAACATTTTCATCAATTTTTGCCAAACAGTTAGGATGATCCCGTTTGTACAGAGACGGTAGTTTTTTTGTCTTGCAAGCATTAGTTTTTGGCAAAATTGTAGGAGTAACTTGGAAGCGCGTTTTACAAATCAAATAAAGCACGTGATCAGGTATGACTTATCTATCGATATGAGGTTTTGGTTATTCTTATCGTCAACAAGTATAGTTATTGTGCTTTTGAAACATTGGCAAGTATCATATACACAGTGAAAGTCGATATAACGGACTGCTCGGGACCAGCACTTTTGTCCGCTATATCGACGGTCCGTTACATCGAACGGTGAGTTTTATACCGGACTCTTAACTAAACCCGTTATAACGACGGCCCTTAATATTAATATCTTTTATTATTCACGGTTATAAAATGTGTGACATAATACCTAACGATAAATTCAATTTAAGACTCGAATGTAAAAAACTCGTCAGTATTTGTCTGCCTCCGTTGTTCAATGCGTTTCATAACAATTTCCTTCTCAAATTCAAAGCAAAACTCGTATCGGCATCTAAGTCGTTCATAGTTATTTTTTCTGTAATGCTGTTAAGGTAACGTGAGTTCGTTTGTTTACATCACTTTGCTGAGAAGCATTTTTTCGTTTATTATTTAAATTGATAGGACCATAAGTCGACATTATGTTAAATTTGTAATTTGTTAGATACGTGTAGCAGAAAATGGGGGAAAATCTTATTCTTATATTTAATTGTGTATAACGGACTCCGCTATAATACTGTATAGCGGACTTCAGTATGGATATAACGGAATTCGTTACACAAAATTAAAATCCGTTATATCGAAATAATAATAATAATAAGATGTGTTCGGGCAAATTAGTCCGGATCCGTTATATCACTGTTTAATATAAAAGTCCGCTATAATACTTAGTAAAAATTCCGTCCCAGCAAAAAAGTCCGTATAAGGCAAAATCCGTTATATCGACTTTCATTGTGTATACGTTCTTGGGCTCATAGTTTGAAGATAAGACGTTAATTAATGCCATAACTTGCAAAACTGACATTCCATGTATTTCAGTAGCAACGTTTTATTATTATCAATGGTATTTTGGTTTTCCATCGCGGTGCTCTTTTACAATACATTTATTACCAGACGTTTTCGAGTTAAGTACGGCCAATTCCCAACATATTGTATTTTCTGGCAAAGAGGTGTATTAGGAAAACGTTCTCTTTTACTATGTGTTTTTCTTTTAAGACAGCGGCTCTCCATTACTTTCGGCTGGACCTTATAATATCTCGATCAAACTTAGAAAGAGATCACGTAATTTGCCAAAATTTTCTCTAGAATTCTTTGATGAACAACCACAATGACAGCCTTTTCCAAAAAATAAATTGTACAAAAACGTTGGTTGTCCGATGTGGATTCTAAAAGCATTCAACAATAAAATGGATGGATGATTCTATGTGCGCAGATAATTGATGACGCATGAAAACCGAGGCTTAGCTAAATTAGAAAGTGTAATGTAATCAAGTCATAATTTGTAGCTAAAATTTATAGACGCAATAATATAAAAAGCGAAAAACTCTATTGTTGCCGTTGTTGTCGAAGCAGCATTGTTAAGGCGTTGATGTGTGCCATTTATTGTTAATAGTACCTTTTAAAGACCACGATCAAGTAGTGAAATATATAGTAAATGAAAAAGAAATATTTATTCAAAAGGTTTATATTCGACGAATCGTAATATCGTTTTTTAATTACACTCCTTCGATTAAGGAATTATATCAGTTGTTGTTCTGGCATAGTTTCTCTTCTTATTCGTAAGTTGCTGGCAGCGGAACTATCACTGAAAGAGTTAGTTTAGTTTTTTTTTAAAAAAATTTCAGACAGGATTAAGCTAACGATTAATCGACTCAAAACGAGTATCCTAAACGGTAATAATAAGATGATATATTTTAGTGATTTAGCTTTATAATTATAATATGTTAGTAACCTAGAATAATGAATATATATGTGTAGCCGTGTTTGATGCCTTAATTGAAGTGGCCATTTTGAGCTAGGACGCGTTTTAATTCGTGTTATACTTGGTCTCGTGACATCCGAATAAAGTGGCCGTTAGAGCATGAGAGAAATTAGATGAACAGTAATCACTAGTAGATAAATATTTAACAACTATTTAACGTGCTATTATGAGGAGCATTGATTCACATGTGTCATTGTGTCGGGGTCTGTGTTCACAATAATATTAATAATATGAAGTGACAGTAAAGCTGTGTAAATGCAGACTCTTCCTCATAGACCGTTGTCAGGTTCTTAGCAATGGTATTAATCTATGATGCGATACGCGTTATGTTAACTCTTCACCATTAGGTGAGTTAGTTTGTTTGCCAGTATTATAAACATTGTGGTTATTTATCATTATATCGTCTACGTTTAATAATGGTATAGTTCATGGAAATGTAGGAATATAAATAATACAGTACTAAACAAATCCCTTTCACATCTAATTTCTTATTTAATGTACGTATTAGTATTAGATATTGCAAGTTCTATCATGATAACAAAAAGTGGCGATATTCCCTTATAAACGTCTGTGCCACTAGATTGTTCCTTGCGCGCCCCCAAAAATGACAGCTTGGTTGTGTCATCTATCTATATGAAAGACAAGGCATTAAAATCCCCCCTCCATCTTTCCTGTAATTCCTCCCTTTCATAATCCTTCAAAACCTTTAACGGAAACATAGGCATAGCTCGTTAACTGCTAAAGAAACCATCCTAGTTTCCGAATACCGTGTTACCCGATGACGTCTCCACGCAGTCCAATACTAACTCCTTGGAGTCCCGTCCTCGGCCCAATGCCCGCAATCATAGAAGACTATCTTTCCGACCAGAACCTCGGCCCGCACACCTCTCAATCTCTTTATTCACCACGAAAAGCCAAGCCAACCACCCAGCTTTCTCTTGAAGTTCCTGCATCCAACAAATATTCTTCTTCCGCTGCTTCGTCCGTGAAAAGTTCCAACGGGATATCAACAAAAATTGACGTGGCTAGTGAGACAGAGGAAGAAGTCTTGAAAGAGCGAGAAGGTGGGAGTGTGGATGAGATATTGATTAATTTGATGAATAGATCAAGTGGAGGGTCTTCAAGTGGAAAGGGAAAGGGTATAGATATATTGAATGGAGAGGAGCAATTATATTTCACCGCTGAGCCTGAAAGCGAGACTCTCCATGAAGGCGTGTTTTACGGGAACAACGTTGATAAGGGAGCGGGTGAGTATCAGCCCATAGGATATACGGATATCTAATGACTAACATATGAATAGGGTATTGATAAGTATGTTTCATATAAATAGATTCTGATTCATCATGCGAACTGACATCTGGACTTTTAACCTCTACACCGGACGGTACCATCTCGCGAGACTTGTCTGTAGTGTCCATGGACGATGAATATTCCGGATATCGTCGGAAATACAGTCATGAAGGTACGCGTTGTTTATATGTGGTTGTGATACTGTCATTACTTTGATCTTGTGAGTAATTGGTTTTGATAATAGATCCGCAGTCTGCAAAATGGGCGAGACATAGAAAACACTTTTTTATTTTGAGCAGTGCTGGTAAGCCCATCTATACGCGGTACGTAACCGATGTTCGGATGGTGATTTTTTGGGTAATATACTTTCTTGTTATCGAGTACGTAATAACATTTACTTCGTATGCCAATTTAGTTATGGCGACGAGTCGCGAATATCTCCCTACATGGGCGTAGTACAGGCAATCGTATCATTCTTTGCAGATGGAGATGATTCTATAAAGTATGATTGAATGCATAAAAGTTTTCGAATTTAATGTGTTCTCTGCATTTGTTCACAATGGATACTTTTATACAGATGCATAAATGCAGGACGTCATAAATTGGTATTTTTATTGAAAGCGCCGTTGTATCTTGTAGCTGTATCGCGTACGAATGAATCTGAATCCCAGGTATATATGAATAAATTGTCTGGCGTATGCATGTCTTTTAAATTTTAGACTCGAGCTAATATATTTTTACTCATTTATATAGTTGCGCAATCAATTGAGCTATCTATACAATCAGATAATCTACGTGGTGACATCCGCTCATTTAACCAAGGTATTCGAACAAAGGACTAATTTTGATTTAAGGCGATTAATTGCAGGTATGGGCATAGTCTATGTATACTCACGCTTGTATGAAATCGTATGTTCTAACATCTCTTTTACCTCATATGTAGGCACGGAGGTGTTCTTGGATAATCTATCTTCTACTATGGGTGATGATTTAGGTTTCTTGTTTGGGTCTATTGAGTGTATGAGAATGAATAAAGAACTAAGAGAGAAAGTAGCCACTGTTGTACAAAGTATAAAGCGCAAGGTAAATGTCTGGTAGGTGTTTGTAATGATTCTATGCGATATAGAAACTAATCCTTATTTTAAATTTTGTAGGAACTTTTATATGCAATGTTAATGACGGACAATAAGCTTATTACTCTACTTAGACCACGTAAACATAGCCTTCATCCGAGTGGTAATTATCATGACATTTATTAAACGTGTCGCAAAGGATAGATTGCATTGCCTTGTAGTCGGTGCACATTATCCACACTGTTGGCATAAAGCCGAATAACCTTCATATTGGACACATTACAGATCTGCACTTAATCTTCAACATGGTGAATGGATCATCTGCATTCCAGGCAGTAGAGTCGTGGATCCCGTTATGTCTGCCGAAATTCAACAGCAAGGGCTTCCTACACGCCTATGTCAGTTACATAACGTCTAATGTATGCCTACTCTTGGTATCGCCTGATAAAGGCATGTTTTTCGAGTTGGCAGAGGCAAAGTCGGTTGTTGTTGAGGTAATTGATTTACAAACATGTCTTGGATGAGAATATCAGCAAAAAGGCTATATAATTCAAAAACTATTCTATCATCTAGAAATTAACCCTGGATGGCACATTGACGTTCGTTGAAGAAATAGCTCGGAACGATGGATACGCAATTGGTAGTTACCTAGTTAAAATGAATTCTCTGAGCAGTTCGATATACGTCTTGTGAATTCGTCAACTATTACTCATCGACTTTTTAATTTAGCCGATATTGGTGCGCCTGCATTGCGACATTTCCTATATAAATCTAAACCACACGTACAGCACACAATGCCCATGTTCACACCGCCATACGACAATCCTCGAGAGAGAAGAAGGTAGTATGGATTAACATTTATCGTATTGATTGAAACTTGCATAACAAAATCTCGCGCCATTGGGTTAACAACACAATATATCAGACTATTCAAGATGTACCGATATACGCATGATCGAATGCACTCTCGGTTAAGGCCTCTCAAAGTACATTCTTACATAAGCTCATCTGAGCTAATAATAGGTTGGGTGAGTATAGACGGAACTTGGACAATGGTGCATCGTCAATTCGATTGTTAATTCACGTTCTGTGTTTCTTGGTTCTAATTTCTGGTCTCCTTTGAATAGATAACACAAGACTTTGAATTATACGCAGCATTCGGTCCACTGGTGTCAAAAACAGCATTAACGCAATCAGTAAATATATTATTACGTTGGATTAAAAGAGAAGAAGAAAATCTATTTATTCTGAGCTCGCCCGTATTTTAATTAATAATCGTTGAGACTATTATTATGCATCCTGTATAATATAATTTATCCATATCAATTAACATCCATAATTCCGCAACTAGATATTAATAAAAAACATGGCATATTTGCATTGAATTACGATCAACATCCGTTAGATTGTGTTAGTGAATTTTGATCGTTCCATTCATCTGTTCGCCAGACATTGAACAGCCACCCAGCAACACTACTGTACATTAAGGGCAATTTAACCGATGTCCGCTTATCATGAGCACGTTGCAGAGGCTTGTAAAGGAAAATGTTGTACCTCAGTTGGGGACCTGTCTCAGTTCTGGACTGAGACGACTGGGTTCTGGACTGAGTGTCTGGGTTCTGGACTGAGACAACTGAGTCCTGGACTGAGTGACTGGGTTCCGAACTGAGACAGGTCCCAAACTCAGACACAACAGGAACAACTTGCAAAATCCCAACCAATGCGGGCCTGGACCCCAAAGTTAATTCTCAGAAAATAGCAAGGAGTTTGGAATAGGTAACTCGGATGTTAGTGTATTTCTGTAGGCGCTTTCCTAGTTAGAACGAATTATCACTTTTGAGTCTCTCGTCCATGCATTGTCTTCTATCCGATCGAGCGAGAGATTGCTTAGTATTAGAGTGCGCTATAAGAACAAAAAAGGGCCTTTTTCTTTATTTGGACTGCTTAAGTTTTGACATAAAAAACTTTTCTTATAAAAGCTCCTTGACAACGCGACTAGTATGCTTTTGGCTTCATTACCCTGTCGAAACATCCACTGCCTCTTCCATAAGACGCATTTCTTGCATTTATAATTCGTGCAAAATAAAGTATAATGAACGGGTTTGATTAATTTTATTAGATTCGATACGGACGCGCATCAGACATAACACACAAAATAGGGTGTCCTTAACTTACACCCCGGGTGTACGGCAAATTCGTACACCCCCGGGGTGTACGATAAAAGATACACC